ATACCAATTATGTCTCGCATATTTTAGCCATGATACAATTCGATTATGAAGAATCTCAAAAGACAAAAGTTGTAGGTATCTTTGTCATCTTTCCAACGTATTTTTAATCATCTCATTCTGAGGTCATATGAAAGAGTTAAGACTAAAATACCCGAGATAGTCTAAGTTATCTCAAACATGTGCGAGACAGTCGAAGTGACTCGCGACCAGGTCAGCTCCTGACGTATTTTCTGATAAGATTGGCTTCTAAAACTCCTTGAGGTTATCTATAAATATGTAGGGTTATCCTTAAATGTGTGGAAGCTATTACATAACCGAAAACCCACCTAAACGGATAATAACAGTTATTCTTCGATCCTATCCACAAACACAACATTCCTATCCACAAACACGACATTTAAAGCTTATAAATACATCTCTAGCACCCTCATAAAGATAGATCATAAGGGAGCCATGAATTTCAGAGGATCTAGGGTGAGGTTCTGACGAATTTGAGAGAGGCTAGCAGATTTTGGCGAACTCCGGCATAAAGAATGAGCGTTTCGAAGGATTAGGTTTAGTCTTGATCTAGAGAAGAGTCATAATCTCGCTTGGTCGAGATTATCACTTCAGCGATTACTTCCTTTGTGAAGTAAGAGCTTTTAATAATCACTCTGTCAACCGGATCTGATCCGCGATGGTCCACGAACTAACGCGTCCCCGGCACAGGCAAAGATCACACGTAAATAGAGACTAATAAATATGATCTGTGTGTTATTTGAAGGAAATTATAATTTTTATTTTTATTGTGTAAATGTATTATAAAAAGGCCAATCTTTTTGAACTTGTTGTAACGATATACAATGAAGAAAATAATTTCTGACCCAGACATAGTCCAATCAAATTCTATTCGGACTCTAATTTCTTCTGCATGTAGCTTCTTGTAGTTATGTGCAACTCGAGCACGACCACCTCTACCCACCGATAGTTTTAGAATTATATCAATTGCACATAATGCCCTATGTATTATCTTTAGTAGCACTTGACCTTTTTTTAACTTATTAGAATTAATCCCCTTCAATTTCTAAGGAAGAGGGAAGTTACTTACAATTTATTTTTCTAATAATGAAGGATAGTATGTTCGAGGGGATTAAACACAATTGAGGATATAGATCAACATGTATAGAAAAGATCTTTCTTTGAATTTCTTTTGGGATAAATTTCACGAACCCCTTAATTGAAGAGTTATTTTTGTTATTCTAGAATTATTGTTCATATTATTACAACTGCTGTTGGCCTTCTTGTTTTGATGATGTTTAACAAACAATTTATAACTAATGTTGTTTGTCTAGTATTTGTGTTTTAATATTTATTGTAGACAAACAACATTGTTGGAGGTTGGATGGATTAAGCCTACACGATCATATCAAGAGGAGGTTGGCGGAATTGTGGAGTGAAGCATCGTGCAATTCAAAGTTAAAGATCAAGCTCAAGCTTCATCCGCATGTGTACCAAGTTGAACTACAATGAAGATCAAGATTGCTTGGGTAACGTAGTTTAGGATTTATATTATGTGTGTTAAGTACGTTAAGCTCAATATCTATACACACACATTATATTGGTTTTCATATATATATATATATGTTTTGAATATATTGCATAGAATATGCAAATTTATGAAAATATTGTATTTCTAGATTATAGACTTCATAACAACATGTTATATCTTTTATCAAGTCTATACAATCATTTCATAAGGTTTCAAAATGTTGTTTAAGTCAAAATATCAAAATATCAATTTTCAGGTTTTCATGTTTTGGACTATTTTGTAAAATGATGATATTTTTCATTTGGGAAGTCCTTTTTCGAAACCAGTCGTTGTAGCATGTTTATTATCATGTCTACAATCATTCCCCAAAGTTTTACATTTTTTGGAATTTGTTTGATATTTTTAAACAGCTTTTTAAAATCAGCAAAACAGGTTTTTCATGTGTCAGATTTCGGTCGACCGCACCGGTCGACCGAACCTAAGGTCAAAAGTTCACTGAGCGACAGAAAGCTGTCGGTCGACCGGTCCGGTCGACCGATGAAAATTTTCGGTCGACCGACGAATTTTTCGGTCGACCGACGAGTGTTCCTTCAGTTTGCAACGGCTAGTTTTTTGACCGTTGCCTTGGGGTTGTGTTTTGTCTTTTGCTCAGGTTTTTGGCTGAGTTGAGAGAGGGTATAAGTACCCCATTGCCTTCAACTCTCAAACTAACCAAGAGAGTTTTAAAACAAGTTTAATAAAGTTTTAATCAAGGGTTTAAGTTTGTTTAAAGTGTGTTTATAAGCTTTTAAGCATTTGAGTGTTTCGATTTTGTGAATCAAATTCCACAAGAGCTTGAGGAGATTATCTATTGAAGTTTGAGCTTCCAACTATCATCCCTCCATCTCTTGTTATCAAATTGAGAAGTTTTCTAAACTCAAACTCTAGCTTTACATTTATATACTTGTTTGATTATCATTGTTCTTAAGCTAGATTTTATATTTGAGTTTAGTTTGATTTTGATTTATATCTCTTTGTTCACACACAACCTATTGAGCTTATTGTATTTACATTCATAGTATAATTTAGGGTTATGGGTTTGTGACATTAAGAGTGAGCTTAATTGAGTTCTCACCTTGTCTTGAGAACAATCATTTGTCATATTTGTGTGCTTATTGTGAGAATCACTTTGTAATACACTTGTACACCGAGAGAGGAGTGTGTGGTGAGAGTCGGGGATCGTCCCAAGAGGAGTGGCGTCGGTTGACGTGCCTAGGGAGAGGTTGTAACCGAGCACTTGAGGGAGACACGGCTAGGTCCAACACTTAGTGGGTGTAGAGTGTGATTGCAAGAGTGTGAGTTGTAGAGTTTTCGGTTAGCTAGAAAACCGAGTGTGTAGAAGAAGTTCCGGCTTCCAAACCGGATTGTGTTAGTGGATTTCTCCCCGGGAGTGGGGAGCGGAGACGTAGGACGGAAGGTCCGAACTCCGTGATCATATTGCTTGTTTGAGTTTGTCTTTGGCGTATTCGTTTTTGCATTTATCTTATATCACCAATTGTGCATTACTCATTTATTTCATCCACTATCTTGTTTAAATTATTTACCCTTGTATTGTTTATATATCCTTGCATATATCTCTATCGTATAGGATATATCACTTTGTGTATATTGCATATTCTTGCACATAGCCCTTTGTATATCTATCTTGCAAGAATATAGTTGTTAATTAATTTTAATTGACATTTAATCGGATTAGATTAGCATAAGACCCTAATCACCCCCCCCCCCCCCCTCTAGGGTCTAACAACTGCAACTAGGGCAATGTCCACCCCCCCTCTAGGGTCTAACAACTGCAACTAGGGCAATGTTTGGCAATACTAGATTATCATACACTTGTGTATTTTCAAAAAGAAAAAAAACTGAGTTATAATCTGCTTGTTGATCATAATCCAAGCGAATTAAAGTTTCAGGTGGTTGATTAATATGTCGGTTCATAATCTGTGCACTTTTTGTTAAAATGATTAAAAAATCCTTAAAAGTGAGAATAGAGAGACAGGAAAAGAAACGAAAGGAATATAAAAAATAATGTTCTTTTTTGCCTTTTATATGATCATTATTTTGATAGTATATAATCCAAAATAATCCACTCAAAATGTGGCTATTAAACATGCAAAAGTGAATTATCATCTCCTTGACAAAGTTGCCAAACATGTTCTAATATCTGAAAGAAGATTGTGCTTCAAGACTGATAGTGTTTAAGTTGTGGGTATTTGTGGGAGTTCTAAGGGGGTTTAGTGGAAAAAGATGTCACGTGGGTTTATTAGAAAATGTTTCTAATTTTGGGGGGTTTTGTGAAATTTACTCTTTTTGCTGACGTCACGAACTACAATAAGCTCAGTCCTTGCATCTTGACCCCGTCAAACCCTAACGACCCAAATCCTTCATCTTTTTAAACCCTAACCGAAGTCGAGATCACTCTAGTCTTGGAAGTATTGGCACTGTTGACCTAAATTCGTCGAATTTTTTAAAGGGTGAAGAGAATTTGGTGAGATTCACCATTGAATTCGTGGGGACGAGTTTGGATTTGGAGAGGGGGAGAAGGAAAGGGGAAAGAGATCAAGTTAATGGCCTATTTGGATGGAGGGTAGAGCGGAGGAGAAGAGAAATCTAATTTTAACCTTGTTTGGGAGTTCCATTTAGAAGGGTAGATAAGGGGAATATGGGGAAATTTGAGTCAAAATCTTACACCCTAAATTAGGGTGAAATGAAGGGGAAAAGAAGCTTCCCTTCCCTAAGTCATCTCCCAAACACACTGCAAGAGATAGAATTAGTGGAGAGAAACACACGTTTGCCCCTCCATTTTGCCATTGCGTCACATTTCTTATGATCGGCATCGCTGGGGATTTTCTGGGTAATTTAGGGAGAAGAGAGGAAATACTTATAATACATGTTGACTTATGGGCTTTTGGGGTAGGGCCATATTTTCTTGGGTTTTTTGAGGCTAAACAACATGGGAAAAAGTATCTGGAGCTGAGTCACATGAGCTTTATTTTTTGGGGGGGGGCTTTGATAAAGTTTTTCCATAAATTAATGTTCTTTTTTACTTTTTACACAATCATCGTTTTGATAGCATATAAATCCAAAATAATCCACTAAAAAAGTGGTTATCAAACATGCAAAAGTGAATTATCATCTCCTTGACAAAGTTGCCAAACATGCTCTAATATTTGAAGATGATTGTGCTTCGAGACTGTGTTTAAGTTGGGGGTTTTTTGTGGGAGTACGTAGGGGGTTTCGCGGAGAAAGAGGGCCACGTGGTTTGTTAGAAAATGCTTCAAAATTTTGTTGGGTTTTTGTGAAATCTACTCTTTTTTTCTGACTCGAACAAACGGATCCACAAATGTCTGATCCGAATCATAATTCCACAGGGGAGCAGCAAGCGACAAAAAGGGAGAGAATTCTGCCCGCAAATTAATAACTTCCCAGCCATCCAAACAATTAACGGGATTACATTACCAAATTCAGACCAAATAATTTGAAAAAAAACCCAAATAAATAAAGTAAAAATAATAATCTCCCCTCTCCAATTTCAAAACCCAATCCCTGCTCCAGCTAATTAATCATGGAGCTCTCACTTGTTTACAGCCCCTCGCTCTCCTCGCTCTACAGTCCTAAACCCGTTTCCTTATTTGGTAAGCTTTGATTTGATCAATTTCATCCGATTAACTTCTGCACGAAAACCTAGCTTTTGGAGTTCGATCCCTTTTCCTGTGGCAGCCAGGAAGCGCAGGTCGTCAGCATTCTCGTGTCGCTGTTCCAAGGATCAAGCGTGGCCTTCGGTTGCTCCTCCTCCTGCTCCGATCGAAGGAAGGCGATGGGTTTTGAGCTTTTTGTTTGCATCTGCTGGTTAGTTGTATAAAAATGTGATCTTGTTAGTTTCTGTGCTTCGATCTGTTACTTTTTGACAACATTAAGCCGAGTTTTGTAATAGTTGCTCCCTAATTTGTGGACACTATGAGTTCTGCTAAAAAAAGGAAAACCTTAGAAAAATCCTTTATATCATTCACTAGGGCAATAAAATGTGCTAAGTGGTACTTAAGACACGTTGCTCAATAGGAGAAGTCTAGCAGCAAATCAGCACAAATTGGCATAAAAAGTGTAGAAATGATAGATTACATTTAATTGAGTGCTTGCGTTAGGTTCTGTATTGATATTGTCGGGGTCATGACAGTTGAGTAGTTCCATGTTGATGCCAGGATGTTTGACAGCACGAGTCTATGCACACAGATGCATATTGAAAATTTCAACCTAAAAGGTGTATTTCTTGCAACGCAACTAAATATTTAATGCAACAAGGATCTAAATATAATGCAGCGTAACTTATAAATCATACAAGAAGAAACAAGCTAATTCTGTAACAACCCCACCCAAATACTCCTATAGAGGTCAAGTCGTACGCCTAACTTGGCACTCACAAATGGTTAATAGATAAATAAAAGGGTTTTACTGAAAATTTTGGCATGACCCATTAACAGTCAAGGGTTCTGATGTACAGTAAATACCACAACTCAATTATAATCTCAATCCCAAGTTAATATCCACAACTATATTATCACATACGTACACGGTTAATTCAAAGCCCCTACTTGATAGCAAAATAGAGCAGAATACCTTCACTGGCATCACTGCAGTGTGGTATGGTTGGAGCACTTAGACTACGCTGTAAATTGCTTAATTACAGGAAAAATCACAACTGAAACCATATCTAAACATATTTATTTGATGCAATATGTATGAACACTTAGAAAAACATTCTTTCGAATACCTTAGGTGCTCACAGTTGCATAGGCGCTTTACCTTTACTTGGATCGCCTCCTGAAAAGAAATTCAGCCACATAGATACAGTGAGCAAAAGTCATCAAGTAGCATATAAAAGAAATTATGAATACACAAATATGAGTTATCAAACATGGAGATATCACAACATCACAATGTACAAAATTCCACAAATCTTAATATGTCAATTTGGATTCATCAGGGGATCAATTGAACATCAAAAACTTGCTCTTACTTCCAAGATTCTGAAACACTCTTGATCACATGACTTTTTATGCATGTATGTATAAACACCACCTCCTTTGTTAAGGCCAATTGGCAGGAGAAGAACCTCTTTCGTGTCCTTCCTGGCTTGTGAACAGCCTTAGAAAAAAGTTTTTTTGCACTTGGGTGACGATATAAGGCCGAGCATTCTCATGATAAATGGATTCGCCTTACAGCAAGGAGCTTGGTGAGCGGATGATGGACCTTTGGGCTTTTTTTAAAGCCATATAAAGTCCTATTTTAATTCCCTTCGTTCATTATAAAATCTGAGTATGATGATCTTCAAAAATGCCAGGATTGAGGAGATTGCCATTTCACATTACAGCAAAAGATTGAAGAAATGGAGAAAAGACTGGGAAGTGTTGTTACGTAATTATCTCTTGGATGGATTTGGCATGCCTAACACGAGGCAGTAGTGGGGAGGGGCTCCATAATTTCTGTACATGAGAATCATACAGATAAGGATTGGAATTGGATTAGAAAAAAGGTTGGCTCTTCAAAAGAAAAGGTTTCTTTAAAATTGATGTTAGAGAGAGTAGATTTGATCCACTTACTCTTCAGTAGATTTGGTGAAATTTCTCCTTCCAGCGATGAGATAGTTGAATCTTTGTGATGTAGAAAAAGAGGAGGCGAGAAAGGAATACGAGGCCCTTGCCCATGACTCCATGGGCATCATTCTTCTTCTGGTTTCTGTTATTTCTATTGATATTTGCTCCTATCTGTCTTTGATCCATGTCAAAATTTTGTTTTTGCAGCTGTTGATATTTGGTTGAATGTTTAAAATACCATATTCCAACCATATATATGATTCAACAAACTAGATTTGTAGAATTGGAAAAAGTGTCTTAATACCTCTATAGTGACTTTAATATCCGTCATTTTTTCCCGACAAACAGATATCAGAGCCTTTTTTGAACCGCCAGCTATCAGACATGGAACGACAATATATTTCCAGCAGCTTAGTCTCTCTTACCTTCCCTTCTGCTATTCTAAAGAAGGGTGCTATAAACTTCTGTGGGCAAACTAAATTTTTATGTCTCTTTATTATGTATGTTCACTCTTTTGCTGGAGGGGATGGTGTCTTGAGTCTTCCCTCTCTATCTTATTTTTCAAATATGATGTTAATTTGGTAATTCATATCCATAACTGTGTGTTTTGGTGAAATTAGCCTGCATGGTCATAGTTTTATATATTTGGCAGCTTCTGGTCTCAACAGTTGTGACCTTGCTGATGCTGTTTCCACCAGTAGAAGAGCTGTAAGAAAATTCTCTCTATTTTTGTGTGATTTGTTGTGCGTGCGATTGTCCACATGCATCTTAAATAACACTAAACTATTTGTTACTCCTTGTTTTCTATGCAGCTACGAGGGGCGAAAATTCCTGAGAGTGAATTCACTGCCCTTCCAAATGGCCTAAAGTTAGTACATCTACTTGAACAATAAAATCACAGTCCATTACCTTTGTCATCATGTTATATTACTGATATGCTATTGTACTTTTTTCTTTTTGGTTTCTTTTTGGACAAAAAATCTCAAGGTATAATGTTACATATTTCTTAACTTCTATTCACAAGTTACTTTTCTGGACATGAGATACTTTCAGTGAATCAATTTTCAAACCGTTGAGACAGTAGAGAAGCTTTAACTTCTAATCCTGAAAATTTAGTAATGTTAGATATTTTTTGCATCTAAACCATACACATCACACTTATTAATTTGTTATTAAGCATATCCATTGCAACTACCTGAGCAGAGTAGGTGATCTCATGACACACATTTCAATTTCACTGATGCTAATTAAAAATGAAATCAGTAAATGTTTACCTTTTGCATGCGTATGAGATAAATATTCTTTTCTTGGAATTATACTTTCTATTGGGAGGTAGTAATATAACATAAATGCAAGAATGGTCAAGTATGTGCAACCATTTTATCGATAATTAAACATGAAGAGTTACCAACTTGCTGAAAATGTTTGAACTAATAAGGTTCATTTGGGAATAATAAATTAAAGTACTCGCTTCCTTTATCAATTTTTTAAGTTTGTGTCGGAAAATATATCCGAATGCTTTATGGTGGATTAGCGATTAAGTTGAAACTTGTTGAGAAGTTTGCGTAATGGACGGGACTCCGATAGTTTACTTATATCTATCATGTCCAGTAGTTCGTCCTAGATAGTTGTGATGACTCATTATCTCATACAACTAGTTAGACATCAGAAAGTATCTCTCACTTTTTCTAGCTCCTTTCTCTAAGATTTAGCAACAAAAGTTTTGCTTTATTGGCAATGAAAGAATTAAGTATAGCTTATGCACCAAACACTTCTATCATGAAGCAGGTGCCTGTGTTAGGCATATGTTGTATATTATATTTTCACACTCTTCAAACATGATTGACTCCTAAATTCTTAGAACTTTTTGTATTGTGACACTTTAGGACATTACTTCTCAGTTTTCAGACAATTTGTATACCCATTGTGCATTAAATATATGTTTATGGTTAATTTTCTTCCAGTGACCTTTCTTTTTTTGCTGTTGTACCTATTGTTGTTCTTGCTACTCCTTGAGCAGGCTTCAGCAAGTAATTGAACATATCTAAATCTTGTATCTACTATGAGAAGTTTGTATAAATACTTCATGTTTAGAATCATCTGATGATTGGAAAATGCTGAAAGATCGACTTTGTCTAGTCATAGAAACTTGCATAATTTTACTGGTTGCTTTATAATTTGCTCTATTGAATTCTGTCCTGATCATTGTACCCAAACAAGTTAATCGTACTTATGTAAGAAGTCTTTTATAGAGCTTTTGTATACTTCCCACCTTTATTTGATTTATAACTTTAACTTAATTACTGACATTCCTAACCCAATTCTTTTTATTAGGTACTATGATCTGAAAGTCGGAGGTGGGACTGAAGCTAAGAAGGGATCGCGTGTTGCTGTATGGTTGTTTCCTCTTTAGCCCATTTATTTAGAAAGTTAAGATTTGAATTTTATGATATTAGTGTACCTGAGTTTCCATGTAAAAAATAGAGTCTATATTAGCTTCCATGATGACTATCACTAGGATTAGCAAGATTGTGATTTCAAGTGGCGCGAAATTTGAAGTTTCTTAAACCATTTCAAGTTAAACCCTGAATTGATCTGTCAGTGTGCAAACTGTCATCAGTAAAGTATTATGTCAAATCAAAGTAGATCTAATTATACCTGTACAGTGCAGCATGTTTCCAATGGAATCCCCAACAGTAATTCTGAGAAATCTTTTAGTGATCAGTCTCTAGACTCTGTACCCACAGTTTATTATCCAATATTGATTACACTGGGAACACAAGGAAACCACAGCTCACTGTTTTGACTGATTTGTGAACAGAAATATTTACATTTGATATAATACTGGATCTGAAAAAACAATTCAAAGAGTTCTTACCTTGCTCTTAATTTTCACGTTTTAGAAATAAACATGTTACTCTCCTTTTGAATATTTATTTCTATGAACTTATATTTTTCAAGTCTATTTTAATTATCAACTTAAATTACTCTTGCCATTTATGAGATAAAACTAGCTTTTAACCTATTTTAGTTGTCAACTTAGATTACTTTTGCCATTTATGAGATAAAACTAGCTTTTATCAATTTTAATTGTCAACTTAAATTACTTTTGCAATGTGGAGCTTAATCACTATTTTGATTTTCTCATATGTTTCTTATATCCCTTCAACGAGAGCATCCACTAAAATATCCCAATTCTAAGTCTTTTAACTCTCATCTTGTAATTGCTATGTTCTCAGATGCGGTTTTCGCTTTATTAAGCTATAGTCTATAATAAGTAAGCTATTTCATGCTCTAAAATATCCCAATTCTAAGTCTTGTAACTCTCATCTTGTAATTGCTATGTTCTCAGATGCAGTCATCTACTTAAGCATTGTCCAGAGCTAACTCTTAACATGCAGGAATTAAGTTATCTTGATAAGTCTTTTGTTAATTAATGGCAATGATGAGTAAATTTCATGTAGATACATTATGTTGCGAAGTGGAGGGGTATCACGTTTATGACAAGTAGGCAGGGGCTTGGTGTTGGTGGTGGAACGGTATGTCTGAGTAATTAGATGGTGTGTGTCATTTTACTAGTAAGGATAATTAATTAATTTTGCATCTGATTACCTCATACAATGTAGTTTTTTTAAGGCTAAAATTCCCCCTTAAGTTTGGATGATTACCAGATAACCTCTCATAACTTTCAAAATATGAGAAAACTCCCTTTAAGTTTAGGGGGTTATCAGAAATTCCCCTTTAACTTTTAGATTTATCAGAAACCACTCTAACAACATATACTGCAATTTTTCACATGGGCGGATAAATTCATGCAGGGTTTTTTTCCCAATGAAAATTGTGATTCCCACTTCTAAGGGGGCTTTTCTGATAAAATATTAAAGTTAAAGGGGGTTTTCTGATATCCCCTAAACTTAAGTGTGGTTTTTCTGATATTTTGAAAGTCATGGAAGGTTATCTGGTTATTGTCCAAACTTAAGGGGGTTTCTGGTATTTAGCCTTGTTTTAGTGTTATTTATCTACCCAAGAATAACTGGTTTTTTCTATATTTTTCATGGTGTTTGCATGTACAACACATTCTTTTCTTGCACGTCAATTTTCTCTATAATCAAACTCATGAACAGGACATAGTTGTACAATGACCATGAACACCTGAAAATTGATACTGCTCTCATAATTTGCAATGAAATTAGCTGAGGCTTCTTAATTATTTGCAGCCCTATGGCTTTGACATTGGGGAATCAAAGAGAGGCAATGTCCTCAAAGGATTAGACTTGGGAGTGGAAGGAATGAGAGTGGGTGGCCAGGTCTGAAAATTCTCGTTTCGTACTTCATGCAATACGATTATTCATTTTGCAATAATCTATTTTTAATTAACTAATTAGTACGCAGATGTTTGCCTCATTACTTGTCCAACATATATTACGTGCCAGTTGCAAAAAATATACTGGATTGCAGGATAGCAGTTATGGAGCATTCAAGAAATCACTGCTTCATTATTTTTCAGTTCTACAAATTCTTCACTTGTCTACACTTGAACTTTTTTTTTAGTTTATGCCTGCTGTAGTCTGCTGATTCATATATCTTATCTTTTGAGCATGTTGGATCGTAATACAACCTCAGGGTCTAGAAGTTTAAAAATGAAAGTTAACTTACCTTTAATGATGTGGTTCACATGTATCTTACCATCATCATTGTACATTCAAATTCTTGACATGGTTCAACATTTTCTGAAAGAAATTATTCAAGTCTGTGCCCTGCACATATTGAAAAGCATCAGTAACCCCCTCTCCGTTTTCTGTGATTAATTAAAGGTAGAGTTTATTAGCATCTTAGTCACCTTGAAGCGTGAAGCCATTGGTTTTGAATATTTGGAAAGAAAATTAACATTGATACTCTACCTTTGCCAGCATTTTCTTTTTGTACTTTTTCTGCACTTATTATTGGTTGAATGTGTGTTTGTACGTTCCTCTTTTAAATTGATAAAAACTTTAGGCCACGAGTCGAAGGTGCATGAAGTAAGGAAATAAGAACACAACTTGCCCTGATAATTTACCTATTATCGGCTCCTCAATTTCAAAATAAAGGTATTCTAGGATGTTCTGGAGTTTTTGTAAATGCTGTATAAGCAATGATTATATAGTGAATGAAAAATCAAGAGGTTTGTGAAAGAGTTAAAAAAAAGAATTTGATGTTTCAGAAACTTATTACCTATTGCATCTGTAGTTTTGTCTTTGTTTGAGGTATTTCAAATAATGGCAATGAAACTAGTCAATGCATCAATTGAAATTTAAAATGCTTTTAGCGAGTTCCTTTATTAATATGAGATTTTGCAATTTAACAAACTTGAGTTTGTAAGCCTTCTCTCAAATCTTTCTACTTAGCAGAATTTCTGCCTATAATGCTATATTCTTGAATTCCATTGTTCATGACCATCTATGTTGTGTGAGTACTTCTATCATGAAGCTATATCCATAGCCCGTCTCCTGAAATTATCCTAGAGGGGGTGAATAGGGTAAATTGCTAATCTAATCCGATTTAATGCTAATTAAAACTTATTAGCAAATATCCTAGCGAGTATGATATTCAACAACTTATATGTACAAGGATATTAAACTAAGAGCAAATAAATATGAGACAATACAAACACGATAGTGGACAAATGAACAATCCAAACACAAGAAAATGATCACGGAGTTCGGTCCTTCCGATCTACGTCTCCGCTCCCTACTCTCTGGGAGAATCCACTATCACAACGGGTTTTCGACGTTCACCCAAAACGTTCACAATCGGTTTTCAACGTTCACCGACAAACGTTTACAACACACACAATGTAAACATATTCTACACCCTCTAAGTGTTGACCTAGCCCGTGTCGTCTTCCTCAAGTGTTCGGAATTACTACATCTCACTAGGTTTTACTACCGACCCTACTCCTCTTAGAATCGATCATGTCTGTCACCACACACTCTTCTCGGCGTACAAATGTAATACAATGTGATTCTCACAAATTAGCTCGATACAAATATTTGTTCTCTACAATAGATGAGAACACAATAAAGCTCACGCTCAATGAATCACTCACCACAACCCAATAATATAGTGTATGAAATACTAAAAGCTCAATAGGGATGTGTGTGATAAATGAATACAAATAAAATCTAACTCAAAAAATAAACTAGCAATAATATAGATATGAAAATTCAAGAATAAAATGTTAGATATTTGAGTTAAGAAAACTTCTCTACAATCACAAAGAGATGATGAAGAAAGATTGAGAATGAATTCCTCAAACGAAGTTGTAAGCCTCCTCTTTGTGAAAACAAACACAAACTTGAAAACAAAACTTAAACTTTAAACTCTCTTAAAACTTGTTTGAAACTTTCTTAGGGTGTGTTTGGTAATCAATGTGGTTTTTTTGTTATGTTTTTGTAAAAAACACCATGCCATGGTGTTTCTTTTTCAAATGTATTTTGAAAACACCATTTTGATCAAACTAGTTTGACCATTTATATAACGGCAGTGGGCGGGCACGCGGGACGGGTAGCCGGTGGTCGGCAGTCGCCGATGGGCGCGACGACTGACTGTCGGCTATCGGCAGGTCGCGAGTGGCCGAGCGGCCGCCGACGGGCGGGCGACGGTGAGTGGCCGACGGTGGCGGCGGGTAGCCGGTGGTCAGCAGATGGCGACAGGAACGGCCGGGCGGCGGTGTGGGCGGTGGCGGCGGTAACGGGTGGAAGGTGGCCGACGGTCGAGCCGATGGGGGCGGCGACGGACCGGCTCGTGCCGACGGCAGACCGGCGGGCGGTGACGGCGGTCGGGTGGCCGGTGGCGCGTAGCGAGTGGGTGGCGGCAGGCGACTGGTGGCCCGGCGGCGACGGTGCGTGATGACTGACGGTGAAGGGTGACTGTGGCCGGCTGACGTACGACGAGCCGGGGAGCAGCAATGGTGGCGACGGCGGGCGGCCAACGGGCGGCGTCGGGACGACGGCGAACGGTGGTCGCTGGTGGCGGCGGCCCCAAAGGGCGGGCGATTGGCAGGCCGCGGGCGGCGGGGTAACGACGGGGGAGATGCGCGCTGCGGCGGCTTAGATGAAAAAACGGAATCTTAAAACACGTTTTTGGTGTTTTGAGAAAAGTGTTTAATTTTTAGATTTTATAAAAGGACAAGTCAAAAAAACGCTCCGGTTGTCAAACGTGTTTCTTTGTTTTTGTTGAAAAAACAGAAACGATAAAAACGTCACGGTTGCCAAACGCTCCCTTAGCTAGTTGGAAATAGTTATAGCAAATTAGTATATATAGGATAGGAAAAACCAGCCCAAGAAAACAACAAAAACCCTTAAAAACAATAAAAAATACAAAATTTGGAAACTAACCGTTATTGTGCAACGACTAGTTATAAGTCGGCTTATGACAGGAGATAAGTCGACTCATGTGTAATAAGTCGACTTGTCAATGCACATAAGTCGACTTCGCAGAAGAAAACTACTATCTATAAACAGTTTGTAAGTCGACTTAATAGAGGACATAAGTCGACTTATAGTAAGTCGACTTACGGGACAAACAAGTTGACTTAGCAGATAGTTTCTGCAATTCCATAGCAGATCATAAGTCAATTTGTCAGAGCTTATAAGGCGACTCATGAACGTGCACAGACACTGTGCATGTTTGAAAATTGAGTTTTAAAATGCCTTCAAAAATAGTAAATAAATTCCAAAAATGTGAAATTTTGGAAAATTTTTATAAACATGAATATAAACATGTTAGAAAAAGAGTTTTTTAATTTGCACTTCTCATTTGTAAAATCTCATCATTTTACAAAAACACAAACATGTTTATTTAAACACATGATTTTTGATTTTTGACTCAAAACAAGTTTTGAAACCTTTTGAAGTGTTTTTATGGACTTAATAAAAGATGTCTACAATGTTTGTATAGTCTGTAACATACTAATATAGTATTTACATAAAAACACATATGTTTTGAGAAAAATCACAAATATATGTGTGTGTAATATTGAGCTTGAAGAATTGCACACAATATAAAAGCCTAATACTAAATAAACCCAAGGTTGAATGAGAAACTTGCTTTCTTGAACTTGATTATGGCTTCATTTCAGATATCATTAACCTAGATATACCACAAACAAAACACAAAGCACTAGAACAAATATTAGATGTAAATTATTTGCTAAATCATCAAAATAAGAGTACTAACATCTCCTACCCATACCCATACCTGACACTTATTGGACACTTCTAGAATATAGGCATGCACTAATTCAGACGTGATGCAGGACAGATTCAGATCTAAGTCTTGCAAAATGTTTGATTAAGATCGGATTAGGATTTCTTCTAAAAATTTTGATTTTTAGTTGGGATTTAGAATTGAGTTGTTGTTTTGTTAGGAATGAAACTGATATTTTGTTAGCATATGTGATTTGATGGTATCCATTAGTTAGGATTAGAATTTTGTTTTGGTGCTGATAAATAATGATGTATTTCTTCATTTGAGGAGAGAAGAATGTTTGTGAGAAATCTACATGTAAATTGTAGCTAGTATTAGGCATGTGAGTTGCCGGCATATGAAGTGGTGGGGTGCGAAATCCGACAATTTGTATCTTTTTTTCCCTATTGAAGATTGCAATTTTATTTTTTGTATTTTTTCCTTTTTTATCTAAATCAGTCTAGTCAAGAGATCATCATCCGTTCCTTGCCAATTGGTATTAGAGCCGAAGAGATCAACAATTTTAGTTCGACATCGACAACGCATCAATTTGAAGTCGGTCAATGCAATTCAATATTAAACTCAAGTGTGAGTTTTTTCAAGAGGGTGAGATTTGATGTAGAACAGATTCAGATCTGGGTCTTGCAAAAGATTTGATTAAGGTCAGATTAGGATTTTTCTAAGAAATTTGATTTTTTTAGTTGGGATTTAGAACTGAGTTGTTGTTTAGTTAGGAATGAATTTGTAATTTTATTAGCATATGTGATTTGATGTTATCCACTAGTTAGGATTATGATTTTATTTTAGTGCTATGAATAATGATGTATTTCTTCATTTGAGGAGAGGAAAGAAGAATGCTTGAGAGAAATTTGCATGTGAATTGCGGTTAGTATTAAGCATGTAAAGTGCGCGGGTGTGAAACCCGACATTTGTATCTTTTGCTTCTTAATGAAGATTGCAATTTATTATTTGTATTTGTTTCCTATTTTTTATCTAAATAAGTCTCGTTAAGAGATCTCCATTATCCTTTGCCACAAAGACATGTACTCAATTATATAATAACACCTTTTTTAATTTAAAACACTCATGCACTTCTTGGAGTAGAGTCGGGTTCATTTCAACATATAATCAGTTCAAAGCTATGATTTCATAAGTCTTTTGCCTATCTAGTTCAAAAATATTATTTCAATTCATCCGTTTGAACCATACTCCACCTTTTGTAAGTTTGTCATGTCCCGTGCCTGTATCCGCACTCATACAGGTACCTATACTTGTTGCCGTGCAACTTAGATGACCATACTACTTATTGGTAAGTTATGTAGTACACAGTGAAAGTTTGAGTCTAGAATCCCAAATGATGAAATGTTTTCATCTCATATATATTTAGCAAAGGAATGAACTATAAAAAAAGAGAAAAAAAATGTCACCATTTCAACTGTTGTTATCATCAAAACTTTTTCCAGGAAAATAGGTATTCTTCAAAGCACAGGTCTTGGCTAAAGATTTCACAAAGTCCTACGACCATTCTATGGACCTAAAATCAACCTCTTAACTTGGTGGCAACGACCATGCTATCGGAAATATGGATGAGAGATTTGCTTACCATCAATCTCATGAGTTAGTCCAGATTTTAGGTATTCTACCCTATTGGTCATGCAGTCTAAACTCATACAACTGAGGAGTTAACCTTTAGAATATAGTGAGAAGAGTCTAGAAGATTGGCAAATGACGGATTAGAAGTAAGGGGTTACTATCTATTCTTTGTCATAGATACAACCAGAGAGCCGGAAAGGGAAAAGATAGCTGTGAATTATTGTTATAAAATATATATTTTCATGTCCATTTCCATCTATCCTCTGTTTGATTCTGATTTGGTAGATCATTGTTAAATTGGGGAATAGCTTAAACATACAATGTAATTTCATTAATTACTTATGGCAGCTGAAAATCCAAGTGTGTCCAGTATTCATCTAAAGTATGCGTTGTAGATGTGATTGCCCTCTTTAATATGATTTTTAATACTTAATTGTGGATCCTATTTTCTTGTTTAACCATTCCATCTTTATTGTTTTCCTTCCTCCATACCCTGATTTGTCATATTTCTATGGCCTATCATAACATTTATTTGATAATCTAAACTTTTGGGATTTGATTAGTATTTGTGTCATGAAAGTGTTTGGTATTTTATAATTTTAGTGCTTCAATATTCAAAATTGCAGAGATTATTGATAGTCCCTCCTGAGTTAGCTTATGGAAGTAAAGGAGTTCAAGAAATTCCTCCAAATGCAACTATCGAGGTAAGAATTGTTGTTCATCATTTTATTCTAGACTTCCGTTTGTGAAGCAAAGGCAAACATGGAACATGCCATGATTAGTAAGCTTTGTTCTTTCCATATAATGGCATATATTGGTTTCCTCATGTTTGTTGTCATTTCTGATGTAAATCTGAAATGTCCCACAGTGGTCGTGCACTAGGAAGGTTTCTGGTATTTAAGAATTTCTAACACCAAGTGAACGCAAGGAAAAAGGTAGCTAGCATTTAATGAGGAATCAGAGAAAAACTTTGTGCTTACATATGCTTGGGTAAGAGTAATATTAGGACAATGACCTCCTTGGAAGTCTTTAATCTGTGTGATAACAAGGATTACAGTGAGAACCAGTTACCTGGTTCTTGCTATGCTTAATGGTATGGCTATGGTTATGTGGTACACTAGATTTAAATAGTACATATGGGATCATCTCAATAGGACTGGCAACTTGTGTCACAGTATATTTGTGAGGATTAACTAGGTTCGGTTTTCGCATGTATTATTTGCATACATAAAGACATACGCATTGACATTTAAAGAATTAAAAAAAATGAAGGAATATTAGAATTAGAAACTTTCTTCCTTTTATTATTAATGAAGCATATGTCCTGATTTGGTTTTCTCTTATTATTAATGAAGCATGTCCTGATCTGGTAGTTGTTCAAAAGAAAAAGAATGAGAGCAAACTACTTTAGTTAATAGCATGAGGACAATCTACTTCTATTATCATAATAGTAGCCATACCATGATCAGGGCATGCTTCATTGATACTAAGGGTTAAAAAAAATTAGAGCGTGTATGCAAAAAAAACCGTTAAAATTAGGGGTGTTCTGATGAAACTTATTGGGGCAGCGATAGTTTCAAACTAATTGGGGTTTAAAGTGTGAAAGGTCCAAGCTGTTGGGAAACCAAAGAGAGGATCTCATGCCCAAGATCAAATGTACGACTAGGAATGAATGAATCCAAATATGAAGCAACCCAGAATGGCGAAGATCAACAAACCACAATGACAAACTAACACTGGAATTTTATGCGGAAAACTCTCCAAATCAAAAAGTAAAACCACAAGAAGTCCATCTCAAGAGCTCCACTATAATCAAAATGGGTTACAAGAACCTTCTCCAAGCTCACAAAATGAGCACACAGCCTCAATTCTAAGTTCCAACAATAATGGAATTAGCCTCACAAAACAAAGAGAAACTGGCCGAAAAACATTGTTGTTCTGACAGAGAAAATGAAGTTCTACGAATTTTCCACATGCTCACCAAATGTCATCAATCGGACAATGAATGAACGTCCAATCGACGAGTTGATGGTCACTGGTTGAGCAAAAACCTCCAGGGCAGAACACTCTTTTTAGGTTCTTTTAACTTTTTTCTCCTGTGAAAACCCTCTCTTTCTTAGATCTGATCTAACCCACACATAAGAGAGACATAACAATGAGCCAAGTGGGTCAATGGACTTTAGTAAAATCTAAACCATTGGGTCTTAACCATAAGAGCCCCAACACAATTTTGGGTCATCCTTCACATAGAAGGGAAACACTACTCTCCCTCCTAGCTATGTAGAGGTGGTCACCATTCCAATGATCAAACAACAAATAACAAGCTTCTCCCTCAATACCGACGTCGTCAAATACCCGAACCGTTATCATCAGTGTGAACTTTCTTAAGCTCTAACAACTTAGAATCCAATACATCTCTTATCCAACGATATCTCACATCAATATGTTTAAACTTATAAAAAAAGTGTCGAATTCTTACCAAGATGGATAACACTTTAGCTATCACAAAGCAATACATACCTCTCTTGCGTAAATCCAAGCTCCTGCACATATCTCTTCATCCAAAGCAACTTCTTGCAAGCTTCCATCGCAGTAATAAACTCTGCCTCTGTAATAGACAATACTTTTGCAGCCGAGATTTCCAAGCTATTGCTCCTGCGAAAGTGATCAAATAACACGAAGATGACTTCCTCGAATCAGCATTTCCATCCATAGATGAATTTGTATACCAAATAGGAATAGACTTCTCACTCCCAAAGTAATAAATTAGAAGTGCTTGGAGATATCTCATGATCCATTATACTGCATCCCAATGCTCTCTACCAAGATTTGAAATAAAGTGATTGACTTACCAATAACATGAGCAGTATACACCCTCGTGCATACCATAACATGCATCAAACTATTCACGACGGATGCATAAGGAATCATCTGCATATATTTTTCTTCTTCGCTAGAAGAACCGTGCTTGATACTCAACCTAAAGTGTGTAGCAGGAGGCATGGTCACCATTTTGGCCTTGTTTGTTCAAAACTTTTGAAGCACTTTCTTAATGTACTTCTCCTGTGATAAGCATAACTTCTTAATGTTTCTGCCACGATCGATCTTCATGCTCTAGGTCCATATAAAAAAACTTACTCAACTATCGCTTTAATCTATTAATCATGGAAGCATCCTGGCCAACAATAAGCATGTCAGCAATATAAAATAGCACAAGGATAACATTATCATTGAAGAACTTTTGTACAAATAAAAAATGGTTAGAAGTAGTCTTTTTGAGGCCTTGCTCTCTCATAACAGACTCGAACTTCTTGTACCACTGCCTCTGTGCTTGTTTTAAGCCATACAAGCTCTTCTTTAATTTGCACACAGATTTCTCTTTTCCTTTAACTCTGAAATCCTCTAGCTGCTCAGCGTATATCTCATCTTCTAAATCATCATGAAGGAAAGCCGTTTTCACATCCATCTGCTCAAGCTCTAAATCAAGATTGTCAGTCAAACCAAGAATAATCTGGAAGAGATCTTCACGATTAGAGAAAATATTTTCTCAAAGTTTATTCCATTTTTCTGCCTGGAGCTTTTAATAACTAATATAGCTTTGTATTGGGCACATAAAGTATTCTTATCTTGCTTCAACCTGTAAATCCATTGATTTTGCAAATCACTCTTGTTCTTAGGCAATTTCACTAACTCGAATACATGGTTGTTAAGCAACTTTCATTTCATCCTCCATAGTTTCATCCCGCTTCTTTTGTCTTCATCTTCCAAGGCTTCTACATAACACTCTAGCTCTCCCGCCTCTTGTGCCATAACTTGGTTACACTCTTCTCTTCCAGTGCATTGACAACACCCTTAGAAAGTTTTGCTTCCATCGCATACAAGCTAGAGGACTTCTTGCCACGAGCCACAATCAGGGAGCCTTTAGTGAGCTTCCATTGCCCATTTTCCGTCATCAAAAAGTTGCAATAACCCTCATTATGAAGCCTCCCTATCGATATCAAGTTCAAATGAACATCTAGCGCATGTCTCACATCTTTTAGGACCAAAGTAGCTCTATTGTTGGACACCAAAGAAACATTTTTCGTACAAAAATCTTTGACAAGCCATCATTACCTATCTACGAGACACCAAAATCACCAATGCGTAGAAAAGTAAAGAACTCCCTTCTTGAGGTAACTTGAAGTGAAGCTCCACTATTGACAACCAAACTTGTTTCATGGCAAGCTTGATTAATCTCATTCTCTTCACAAACAATGACAATATCACTAGAGGATACGGCGGCAACACGATCATTATTGTCATGATCATTCTTCTCTTACTTCTCAGTGTCATTCTCCTTATCCCTCTTCCATTGCAAACATCTCTTTTTGACATGTCACAACTTGCCACAATAATGACACTTCACGTCTTTGAATCTTGACATTGACTTGCTTTGACATTATCTCTACCCTTTGGACCCTTGCTTTTACTTCGAACCTTGCATTGTGATGACGAAGCTTGAGACTTTTTCCTTGTCTCTTCATTCATTACACCATCTTTAGCTAGTTGCATAGCGACAATACCATTTGGGGCGGATTTACAAAGTGATGTCGGAAACGTCTCCCAAGAATCGGATAGCAACGAAAGAACTTGAACCTCATCATCAAAACTTTATACCCATAGCTGATAATTATTGCATAATTCCTTGAAATTCACTCGAGTGGTCGATAATAGTGCATCCTTGTGCTTCAAATCCATCATCCTCTTGATCAAGAACAACTTGTGGCTACCAGTCATTCTAGCATATAAGGATTCAGGTTTATCCCACAAATCTCATGTATTAGTCTCCTCACAAATGTTGTTAACAACATTGTCATCTAGCCACTATCGAATCCCGACTTTTCATCGGACTGAGAAGTGGGCTTCTCCTTTACAAACACCGGTAAATGCCAACTATTTACATACAACAGGTCCTTCATTTTCCCCTTCCAAATATGATAATTTGTACCACTCACACTAACCATTCTACTTGTGTCTATATTTGCCTCCATCATTCAACCAAGTCAACGCAACAAAGATACCAAAAACTCTTTCAAGCAATTTCACGCACTACTTATGTGCACCTTGCTCCGGTACCACCTTTTTGGGAACCAAAGAGAGGAGCCCAAGCCCAAGATCAAATGTGAGACTAGGAATGTATGGATGCAAATATGAAGCAACCAAGAATAGCAAAGATCAACCGACCACAATCATAGGCTAACACCGGGTTTTTACGTGGAAACCCCCTTTAAATCGGAGAGTAACAACCACGGGACTAAAAGTCCATCTGAAGAGCTTCACTATAATCAACATGGGTTACAAAAACCCTCTCCAAACTCACCCAATGGGTACACAACCCCAATTCCAATAACAATGGAATCAACCTCACAAAACGAAAAGAAATTGAAAAAAACTCACCCAGAAACACTGCTGTTCGGAGCCCAGTTCCCGAAGCTACGCAGAAACAATCGACGATCTGACTGTTCAAATGAAGTTCGACGAGTCTTCTACCTGCTGACAAAATTTCAGCTCAATCGGACCATGGAAGAACCCTCCAATCGACGAGTTGATGGTTGCTGGTCGAGCAGAAAACTGCAGGGCTGAAGTCGGGTAGTCTAGTTTCCATGGCATAACTAGGCATTCAATATTTTGCATTTTCTAGATATATTTCTTCTTCTTCATTCTTCCTTCTGTTACTGTAAGTATTTAATCTAGCTAGCATTTGCCCCCCTCACCACTGCCATGTATCTATGTCAGTCCTCATTCCTTCCTCTCACTTGCAGTTGGATGTTGAACTACTGTCAATTAAACAAAGTCCATTTGGGTATGTATTAGTACTTAGAAGATTCTTTCTGGAATGATATTTTCCTTGTGTCTTTCTAGTTCTTGCTCGAAAAATTCTTTCTGTACCTTAATATAAATTTTTATTATGCAGGACTGGCGTTAAGATTATTGAAGGATAGTGCTCTTATCTTTATTCACTATGAGGACCCTGTATATTGAGATGCTGCGCAGGTTTGTTCTTCCTGTATATCAAGGATATAAATTTTAAATTGTGGTGTACTGTATTTTGTCATTGAAAGCAGGGATTTGTTTCTTACCATATATATATAATATTGTTTTTCCATTTTATATTTTTCATTGGTTATAATTATTACAGATTTGATAAATGATTTGTGCATATCTAAAATGTATAAGGGAGCCTTGTTGGACTTTGATGAATATAAGTATGACATGTGACCTGATGAGTACCTGACAACTGTTTCCAATTTTACATACAGTCAATCCTTTGAATTTTAAAGAGACAAAACATATCAATTAAATAATTCAAATATAGTAACTACTTTTCATGACCAAATCATATCAGCTTCTATTGGTTATATTGTTCGGCCAATAAAAAGGCTTCAATAGAGATAGCTGGTATATACTTTGCTTCCAGCAGCTAATCCTTTGTTAGGAGGGCAGAATTAGATTCAGATTCCAGATGTAAGAGCTCAACGTATAGTCAGATTCCAAGTGTAAGAGCTTAAAAGGATAACACAAAGCAAAGCAACCAAATAGAATAACTGTAGCTTTACCCACCTTTCTCTTCTCCTTTAAATAATCAACTCCTAATATAAAACTTCTTTCTCGATGGAGAAGGACTCTAAGGAGAAACATATAATAAATTCTTTTCTTCATCACATTATAATCCCCACCATCACAAGAAAATCCAAAAGAAGAAGAAAGCCACACAAAGAGCAACTACACCAGATGGACTATCCTGAATCCATGTCTCAATATGAGTTTGAAGAAGAAGAGTCTTCAGAAGAAGAAAACGACGAAGCTAAGGAAGAAAATGAAGTTGAAGAGGAAAAGCCACAAACAAGTATACATCTCTCAGAAAATATGAGACAAATTTCCATTGAGCGAATTAATGAAGGGTCCAGTACCGAAGAACAGATTGAAGGTGTCCGGTGTCAAGTAGCTCCACTTGCAGATAGGCAGAGCGTGCTCGAGTCACAGTTCTATGATTATTGCAGCGTGAAGGAGCAAGAATCCACATTTCAGAAGCTTCAGATTATGTGTCTCGGTCTCAAGCTTGAGTCACTGGAATCCCGAAACCAAAGGCTTGAAGATACCATTGCCGAGCTTAGAGAAGCCGTGGAGAATGTGGATGTGATGAGAGCAGATATCAAACTGCTTCAAAAGAAGGCTAAGAAGCTAACCAAAGAAAATAAAGAATGCTCAAAACTTATACAACAGTATGTTCCAAAATTTGAGGCAAAGGAGGAGATATCAAGGAGCAATGAGAATCTCCATTTGGCAACCAAAGAAATCAAAGAGGTGGCTGATCAACTGCACAAGGAAATCAAAAGGATAGAGCTGAAGTTGGAGACAAGAGCATCGGAGGTTACTACTTAATCCCTCTGCAAATATTTATTGACACTTGTTTCTCACAGAATTCTTTTTATCATCTCCTCTCTTCAGTTTCAGATAGAGGATATAACTAGCTTTGCCAGCACAAAACTGTCTGAACAATTGCAGCAGCTTCGAGACCAATGGTCTGCGGATATGGAGGAGCTGATTTATCTCTGGTGGATTAATGCATCCTTAAGGCGTGAAATCTTTGTAGTTCAAGAAGAAGAAGAAAACGATGATGACAATGACCATGATGATGATCGTGTTGAAGAAAGGGAGAAAGGGAAACCTGTAGCAAACTTGGGAGATGAGGTAGTAATGGAGCTTCCACATGATGAGCATGTCGAGAATTGCACTGTAGAATGCTATGGTACAAAATGTGTCTCACCGGTTAGAGACACTAAGGACTCATGTATAGGCATGATCAAGGCTATGAGCCCTGAAAGAAGCTCAAAGAAACCAAGGTTGCTGAGTAAACTCAAAGGCTGGGCAGCGGGGAATGGCAGGTGTAAAAGAGTTGGTGGCAAAGGAAGAAGAGCTGAAGGTTGGCCTTGTTCTAGTTCTTGAAGACCAAGTGAAAGTTGAGAGGTTGGAAGGCAAAAGCTTGTGAAGGTTGATGTTTTCAGAATTAAAACAGCGCGTAATACGCTTCAGCAATGATTTTATGTAATCGTGTATGAAGATCATGTCTTGCCAAAGTAAAGGTTATATAAATTTATGGTCGAGTCAAATAAATAAAACCCGTGGTCAAAGTGTTGCGATGTTTGAATGATTACATTATCTTGATATTGTTCATTTGAAATATAAGAGTTAAACCTTCTCAACAAGTGATTGTCAAACTTAAAATAAAACTGTCCCTGTTATCTAAAAGAAAATTTATGATAGCCGTTACGACAGAAAGTGTGATATCTTTTACCAAATCATAATTACGGCAGAGTTAGGAGATGTGGATCCTTCTCTCTCTCTCTGTACTTCTGTTTGTGCTATGTCCAAAAAAGCTTCCTAGTAAATACAACCAACTTTATTAATATAATAATAATTCAATTTCCTAGCTACGCAGGTTCATTTCCTAGCTCGAGTATTACCGATGGTACTTGCCCCGGTCTCGGGTACACAAGAGCTAGCTTCTTCGGTCATCCCTAACCAAATGCAATCTTAGAACCTTATGCATTGTGCATAGTACATGTTCATTCCTAGTAATCATTTTACACCATAAAACTAGTGGCGTCCTACCTCTATTCTAACTATAAATTTAGGCATTCTAGCTTGGTACGTACAAGTAAATGTAGACAATCTAGTGGCGTCCTGTGACACCGCTGCATGCTTTTTACGTAGAGCAACCACTGCTGAAGATATGTGTTTTAGTCATTTCTAATGAAACTTGGCTCAATCAAGGCTAACTTGTGATCCACATCATGGATTTAGGAATGCAAGGTTTCGCTGAATATCTTAACCTTTTGGAAAATAAGCAAGAACATACAAACAACATAGAAAACAGAAGAAGATTTACGCAATTCGGCAGCGCGCCTGCATCCACGGGAGAAGCGGAAGATGTTTTTATTAACTTGAAGAAGAAGATACAATAATCACTTTCCTCCTGTTGTCATCTCACAAGAGCAATTCATCCGGTTTCTTGTAAATACTCACAAGAACCGTAACCTTCCTTGCAAATTCTCACAAGAGTACACTCTCTTCTTTTCTTCATCTTCTTGACCGTTTTCTTCTCTCCTAACGATGAACCTCTCAAGGGACTATTTACAGACTTCCCTTTCTCCTATCAACTCCAACCATTGACTCTATTTTGGAGTCCCCACTGAAGCATATTCTAAGGAATATGCTAAAATAGAGCTTTGTAACTCCAAGCACACTCCTCCATTTCTAACTCCATTTCAATTTCTCTCAATTTAACAAGTCTTTTACTTATTTTAAAAATATATAAAAATTATAAACACTTGAGTTGTTATTTTAAATATATAAAAATAATAAAAGTTATATAATATAAATAATATTATTAAATGTATTAATATAAAATAGGCATTCGGACTAAAATAAACAGACATTGATATTACTAAATCCACGACCATTACAAGAAGATATTGTCGTTTCTAATCCACCATCAATTTCAAATGTTGAAGACATAGGGATGAACGATGTCGAACGGTTCCAACAATTCCTGACCCGGCATAAGAAATTCAAAGACAAAGATGCACACTCCGCACTTCGAAATACATTAATTGAACATTTGTGGGAGAGACACGGCAATGAAGTGATGTAACTTTTTTTTATTAAAGTTTTGATGTAATTCTAAGTTAATGTGTTTTATTTCTGTTTAATTTTTAATGTATTATCATTTCTAATTACTTGTTTTGCAATTTTATATTTCGATATTAGTCTCATTTTGAAGGTATCGATGAGACATTTCCAATGATATTATTTTCATTAAAAAATATTTAATATATTAATATATATATACATATTTTAAGTAAGTAAAAAATAATAATAGGACACAATTGGAATAATGAATTGTTTATAAGTCCTTAAAAGGGTAAAGTGGGTATTTGGGAAATATTTGCAGCCGGCTTCAAATTTAGACTTGAGGCGGCATATTTGCAGCAACAATTTGATTTTTGCAGCTGGGCTGCATTTTTTGCGGAACGGTTGGAGACGGAACCGACTCCAAAATGGAGTTTTGCGGAACGGTTGGAGAAGCTCTTATGAGTTCATGTAGGGTTCCTTTCTTTGAAAAATTCTAACCTCGATTCATGATGCCTTTTACAAATCCTACTCTCCATGGAATGCCTTTCTCATGATGTATTCAAATTCTAGTCCTCATCCGATTCCAATTGTAATTTGTCTTTCCGGTCAAAGCCAACAATCTTCCAATCCTAATAAAATTAGGATTTGACTTGAATTGTTTCAATGCAAGCCCTATTTAACAGGGAAGTTGCAGTAGAGGATCAACTCTGCGTGTTGAATAAATGAAAAGGGTATAAGTGTAAAAATGGATAAATCACAGATGGTACTGTAATAACATTCAGGACATGAGCTGGGAGAACTGTAAAGAGGGATGAAAACATACGAATACATATCAAGTAGAAGGGGAGGAAATAACAACTTTGCCAGATATGAGGTAAAGAAACATTCAATTAATTCATTGTCTTCTCCCCGTGCAAAAATGTACAGAATGATTTTTCATGCATAATTTTGACGAAGAAAAAAAGAACACATTACTGGAATATTACCATCTTAAAATAGAACACAATATGCACAAAGAAACAAGGAGGAGTATTCACGTATCCAATTAGCTACTTGTATTGTGAATTATCTAACTTTCATATCAGCAAGGGACATACAGGGTAAACGTTTGTGCCTAAGGTCCTGATGAACATGGTGATGCAGAAATACAATATGTTTGTGCCTCAGATTGGTTGTGCAATGCTTGATGCTTCTATCGGGTTCATCGTTGTCACAGGAGCCTTTCATCCTCCGAGTAGATCCCATCCCTGTGTGTCCATGCATTATACACGCATGTATGTGCACGGGTTCATGAACGAGCTTGCACTTGAGTTTATCAGTCAGTTGCTCGCCGGAGCAACTCTATACAATAAACCATGTAAATTGAAAGGTTGAAAATTTTATTATTGTCATAATGTCTCAGGCTTGGACTGAGTTTTCGTTATTTGGAGTCAGAATATTCAGAACTGTCCTATGCTTTATGAACAAAAGAACTCCCAAATGAAAAGGGCGTGTCATAACCACATTGCAGCAGTACTAAATATCTTGCACAAATTGCATCAAAGCTTGTTAGTCATCCTACCACATTAATGAAGTAGAAGCCCAATCAAAATGATGAAATTAAATAGGAACTAAGAACTAATAATATCGTTCATTTCGACATGTTCACCCCTCAAGTAAGAGTTAAAAGTGGCAAAATTTTATTTACTAGTTGACAGAGGTTAAAGTTACTCGTCGCAAAAAGTTGTCCGACCCATTTTTTTTTCTTCAAGTTATGCTACTAACACTAGATTTCTTCATTGTGCTTCATCAACATAATTGGTTTGAATCTAATCAGTTAGCACAACTTTGAAGAAAGAGTGATCCTAGATGTTTCATATTTGCTGAGTTGCAGCTGGAAGCCTACCAATTTTGTCCATGGACGGAGTAAAGTTACGCAGCTTGAATGTAGGGTAGTACGCACTGTTTCTAGGGGCGACTCGTATTTCTTGGGTTGAGATAGTAAGATTTATTTACCCCAACCCCCTCTGCATAATTTCTTGCCTGCTTATATTCCTTTCTTTCCATGGCTGCAGCAACGGATGATGGTTTATCTGAAGAATAATCGCAAGTTCTGAATCGAGGATCAATCGTTCTTCCTTTTTTTCGAAGCCATCATGCAGATTGCTGGCAGACGATCCTAACCGATAATATGTTTACTGTAGAAGCCCGAGCATTCAACAAGTCTTAACCCCACAATTGTTTGCTCATTCAATCTCAACGAATTAATGGATGCCCATATTTGTACAGACAAAACTAAGTTGGTGCCTTCAGCTTAATTGTTCTTGACCAATGCATATAACAATTATGACACTGGAATCCAAGGGACTCAAGTTGTTGGTACCTTCCGTAAAAGAATACGCCAACATGTTGCAAATCAAATCAACAGCAGGCAATCAAAATGCATCGTCTGAAAAATGAGGATCTCGACATTTTTTACGAAGAAGTGAAGAAGATTCTTTCCACCCACCACTACAATTTTTGCAGCATAAACTTAAATACTTACAGAAGATATCAAGGAGGGACGACGTCATTAACGTCGAAGAAGAACCGTAAATAGTTTCAGAGTTGACCCCCTCAACCAATGTGCTAAATTGGTTCTCGTTCGGTACTCTGGTTTTACGTCCGGTGAATGGTGAAAGCCTGCCCAGATGAATGGTTAGCTCATAAATGAGAGTTGTATCCTACAGATCGACCCAAATATAACTAATGCAAACATTTTACTGGAATGGGTGATAATGGCAAATCAAATTATATCTAACCAAGATGACAAAAATGTCCTTTTTCTAAACTATTGTGCCGACATAAAATCGATGTGAATCTCAAGACCAATTGAGTTCCCGTAATATCTTGAAGAAAGTTTACATAGGCGACTCAAATAAATGAAGCTTAGAGAATAAGTTCCATAATTACTGCAATCGACCTGGAATAAGTTGAAGAAGTAATCAACAATATTGATATACAGGACCATCAAAACCATAAGGTTAACTGTACAAAATTGATTGATATAATATCGAGAGATTTTAAATCAGTTGCAAATACATTAATTTTTCTCTAAGCACCTCCGATCCGACAACAAATTTTTACAGCCATCTACATTTGCCAACCAAACTAAAGAGAAATAAATTACAGTTCTAGAAGATCAGTCTAAAGAAATAAGATGAAAAGGGGAAAATGAATGTTGTTCAACCAAAATGAAAGTGAACTTCCCACATACTTCTATACATCCCAACCATCTCCCCTGCTATTAAATCCCCATCTATGTGCCGCGAGATTCCCGTACAACTTTGTAAACTTCGCAATGCATTTGCTCCTCACATGATAATGCGCCCTAGTGTTCCTACTGATCGCAACTCCCGATAACTTTGATGTGTCAATAACCCAAGAAGGCGTCACATACTCCACAGCTTTACTCGACGAACTAGCATTTGAGTACAAGAAATTAAGAAGCACATCTTCACAATTGAAGAATTTGTCCACTAACTCCCTTCCCTTGGCTGCTTCCTTGCTCCAATACCTCTCAAACGCCAATCCTTTATCAACAAAAGCAGCTCCGGTTAGTATCATATTGTACCCTTTCAGTTTTCGAGAATAACTCTCATCTCGATATTGGAGAGGTTTCCCCTCAGCAAGCCGTGGATAGAATCCCACAATTCTGTCAGGATGATCCCGCCACACCTTAAAGCCTCTCTCCACATCATCACATGTCATCATGATATCATCATCGAGCTCAAGAACTGCACGTGTCTTTATCAGTTCATCAGGCTTGAACCTATTATTCAAAGAATTCTTATCTTCCACTCTGATTCTTACAGGAACTGCTGAGTCAAAATCACTTAGGCTTGGAGGCTGGCCTTTGTTCCATACCACCACAATCTCCCTTACTGAAGAGCACCTTGAGTAATGCTTCACATACATTTTCAGATTCCAGAGCCGAGCATCATATGTCATAGTTAGCATGGTGAACTGTGAATAGTGTTCCTGCACTGGATAAGCCTCTTCTGCTCCATTTCCTCCATATACATAATGAGTCCCCATGCATGTTAATGCAACTCCAATTAGGAATATGAAAGCTAGGACGAAACGACCAATCCATGTATTGATTTTTATCCTTCCTTGGAAAGGAGAAGCTAGCCTGTTCAAATGCGCTAAAACCCATTTCAGCTTAGAATAGAGATGGTCCCATTTTTCCTCACTCTGAGTGGCATCACTTCGTTTTCCAGAGGTTGGAAGGCACCAGCTCGTGTGTGGAAAGCAAATAATGACATTCAGCAGTGCTCCTGTTAGTATGACCAATGCGATGGCAGCTCCAAATGCCGTATAGCCCAAAACAAGCCTTCGAGAAGAATCACCTGAGGGGACTCTATCTCCATCAATCACAGCAACCCATTTGCCCGATGGAAGCAGTTGAGCATCAAGATGATGGTAGCGAGCACCATTCCAAATATTTCTCCCCTTTTTAGGCTCTTCGATCCCAAGTGGAACTTCGACCTCTTCATATTTATCAGTAGTGAGGACCATCACTTTGAATAGACGCACTCGGCGTCCATATGTCTCACCACAGTCTTGTCCTGGTCGGTAGAGATCCCCTTTGTAGATGAAAGGGCGTCCTCCATTTCGAGCACCAAAGCTCTTGTCTGTGTTATGTACTGGGTTCTGCTTGTGTGGCTTCCAAGGTCCAAGTGGAGAGTCACTGTACCAGATTTCAAGCTCCCCATTCTTTTTTGCACCAAAAGAACTGAAATCTGACCCAAACAGCCAATGGTAGCCATTGTACTCCACAATAAATGAATCAATAAGAGGTTTGTTCAAAAGGACCTTCTCCAATTCCCATTTCAAGGGAAACTGCAATGCCCGATAGAGACGGAGTTCACCTTTCTGGTTGCCTTCAGGCATCATATATATCTGTACAATATAAGGCAAAAACACAAAGGTGGAAAATATCAAAATCCAAAGCGAGCTAGAGTTCTACCGTCAATATGGGAGAAATTGAACAGACATCATACAAAAGACAGACGAAAATTTACCTGATCCTGATAACTGAATACAAAGGGATAAGAAAGATGCCACTTCTCATCTAAAGCAATGCCCAGGTGCTGCCAAGTTGCACCGTCGTCCTTGCTTACAGCAACACCAATATCCCCTTGCAGTGTGATAGAGTTCTTTGTTTCAAAAAACAAATAAAGAGCACCATCCTGAATAAACACTGATTATTGTCAGATAACAAAAGATACATAGCCATGCTTTATAAATAATAGATTTCATAAAAGATGGGAAAGGGGAGCCCAATTATGTATCCAAGTCGTATAATGCTTTATAAATAATAGATTTCATAAAAGATGGGAAAGGGGAGCCCAATTATGTATCCAAGTCGTATACAAGGAAAACACTTTAGAAACAGAAAGTGCAGCACCCAATTTTCATCATTTGTCTTCAATCAGCGACCAAGCCATTGTCAAGCTTAACTATAATTAAAAGTAATATGAGACTAAGCCGGAACTGGGTCTTTCTCCTACAAGTAAGGTGAAATACTGAACTAATGTCCTCAAATTATTTGATTACATGGAAAACCACAGTTACCATTCTGATTAATATTTCCGTAACTTATATTCAATTACACAGAAAACCACAGTATCGTTCTGATTAATATTTCCCTAACTTACTATCTCCAAAGGAAATAATTTGTGTCGCAAAATATACAATCTCACTATTTTGTTTATAAACAGACCAGTATCATGTCATTTCTTCCATCTAACAGAAATAGGTGAGCTGCACATGTCCAGCAGTAGGATTATTTGGAATGATCAGTTTTAAATCTGCATAAAAAGAGTTCCCTCTAACTATGAAAGATATCGATAGTCCTACTTCCCAAATGCAACACTTCCAATAGAACTTACAATAGGAACTCCCCGTGATTATCATGATAACTTTCAGGATTAGACCTCTATTTTACTACCAAATTGTAATTGTCCAGTTTCCACTGTCATTAATGGAATGTCAACCAACTCACTAACTGACCTTCTACGTTCTAAAGCGGATTTTCTCTTGCCATCATTTGCTACCAAGGAATTTAAAATGCCATCACAAATCGTGATCAATTTTTTTTAAAAAATCCTGGAACTGAATAATGCATTCATGCTCCATAGACGAAAAAAAATCATGCACACGTGAAAGTTCCACTCGTTAGAGATGTCTGACGTCAAACAGTAGTTATAACGAACGCTTAGCTTATAGTAAACAAGGTAGGTGTAAACGGCAGAAAGGCGGTAATCAAGGTTTTACATATCAGTTATCAGGGATTTATCGAACAGTTAAAATCCATAGCGGATAGCGGATATCGAGGATATATCAGGGATAAGTAGTATTTATCGGAGTGACATTACCAGATGGTGATATACATAATATAAGATTCTAAAATGTAATCTAACCATACTTAATGAAATATAAACATACCAAAATGTAAATAATTATGTTTAGGATCACTAACCAATGGTAGAAACTCGGGTCGGGTCGGGTTTAAAGTGCATTGAATAAGTGCTCATTGCCCAAAATCAAAACTCAAACCAAAGGCCAATAATTCCGATTTTTGGGCCGACAATATCGGCCGATAACTCACTTTATCGCTGCATTATCTGCCATAAACATCCAAAAACGATGACCGATTTTGAATAGAACTTATCATAGCGGAATGCCCCCAAAACCGTTAAATTGCGGATAATATCGCTTTATCGGCCGATATTTAAAACATTGGCGGTAATAAAATCAAAATAGCCCTATTGACCACATGTAGGACCATAAAGAGACTGCAAAATATGAATGGATATGTTCACCAGTTTGCCATAGATACTGAAGAAAGAGAAGATATATTTTGTAAACGACAAATCACACAAATTAGAGAAGTTGGACAACAGAACATCAGAGAAGATATATTTTGTAAATGACAAATCACTCAAACTAGATAAGTTAGACAACAGAACTTGGAAAAGTCACTTTCTTGTAATAGATATGGTCACAGGTTCAAGATCTAACTCCAATAATATTTAGGTGGGATTTTTTTTTCTTTAATCAAGCTTGGACCAATCCACCTTAATATTCAAAATAAATTTGAGAAGTTGGCAGTAACAATTTTGTCATTGAAATATTTTGAAGAAACGAACACTTGGTAGAAGTATTAAGTTGACTAGACGTGCACATTGTTTTCTGTGAATTTTATAGTAATATAAACAGAAGTTACAGAACTTGTTAAAACACACAATTGAAGCAATCATATGAACACTCTAACACAGGCCAAATACTTGATAGAAGTAAAGCTGACTAGACTTATATTGTTTTATGTGAATTTCATAGTAATGTGAAAAAAACTTGCTATACTACACAATTGAAGAAATCGGATGAACATTCCAACATAGGCCCTTATGGAGTAAAGTAATTTTGCATCAACCATATCCTCAAAGTCTCAAAATAAGAAAGCCATTTAACTAAGAACGAATATGATGCATTGTCCTTAATGGAATCCAACTTTCAAGAAATTGCTGGTAAAAGAGCCATCAGAACCTAATGAGCAAAATGCTAGTTATGTCATTAGATTCCATTTCTTCAAGTCAATAACAAGGTTCAGGAGGCAAAGAGACACTAGTTAATAAGCAAAAGTACCAATTTGAAGAAGCAATAAATGTTATCATCACAAACCAGAGAAATGAGTGTCATAACCCAATGTTATGGATACTATACAACCAAGTGTTAACATACCCATTCCACTCTTGGCTAATTTAGGTATCTTTATATTGGGAAGTGATATCTCTTAAGCTCACAGCTTCATGATAACCAAAGATGAACAAATGTCATCTTTCATTTAAAGGATGACATCAGTATAAGCAATATATTACGATCTTAATAAATTCAAAATATTTGGAGCTACGAAAATGATCTGACCCCGTTAACCAATGTTAACCGGGACATAAGAACCCAATTAGTTTTCACATCCTCTGATATGGGTACGATTAAACATAGCAAGTCATTATTTTGCGGAGCTAAGCTTACAAGATCAATTGAAGAATTCATAAAGAAAGCACAAGCTCGAGGTGAAAAATACTTGGATACTTGAACCCATTGGGTACACTAATTATGTTCATTCAACTTGCTTAAATACTTCAAAAGCATCAATTGAAAATATTACTGTAATTACTTGTGAAATTAAAGCCTAATCAATTTAGAGAGTAATACTCCTGCAACTAGTCTCTGATTCTCTAAGCCCTCAAAGGTTAATTGAAGCCGTAGCCTCTAAACAATTAAAGATTCGCCTTAAAGCAAAAAATAACGGTAAATTAAAGCACAACAATCGTTTTCTCAGGGCATATGCATGAAGATACTCTGATACCTAATAAAAACATTAACTTGTCCACAAGATGCAATTTCGCACTCAAATTAAAACACCAACCTTACTAAAGAGAAAGGGATCGGCCACGAAATTGCTCGGAAACCCCGCGTTCGTCGGCGTCGCGCAGGTCAACACCGGATTCGCCACCGGCCATGCCTCGCTCGCATTTCTCCACTCATTCCACTGCGAATAGCAACACCAAATAAAGTTCAAAGAACAAGAAAACACCAAATTCAATCAAAATAAAAAAAGAGGATTTTTTTTTTTTTTTTTTGC